CATACGGTCTATTTTTAGTTTTTTTTTACAAGCTTTCATCTGTTTATACAGACATCATCAGGTATGGAAATAGATTTTAAAAAAGACCTTATGCAACTGGAATTTGTTTGCGAAGATGTATTCTCGCCATTTATATCATTAACTTCTATATCTGTTTTTTTGTATGAATGATTCATGTAATGTAAATTGAACTGCACCACATACTTGATATATATATATATATATATATATATACACACACACACAAAGATAGACATTGTAATCGCTATAGATCAGTGAATCTCAAGCGCCGTGCCCTGGCATACTAGTGTGCCGCGCCGACTTCTTAAGTGTGCCGCGAAATATTGTATGTGTGTGTGTGTGTGTTTTTCTAAATAAGCTGCACAAATATTTGAATAGAAATATTGAAATAAAGTAAGTTTCATATTAGCGTTTGCATTTTTTTTTTAAATCTATGTTTTTTTCCCCTGACATTTAAATTTTAAAAAATCGGCTGTGTCGTGATATTTTCATTTGCTCCTAGGTGTGCCGTTGCTTAAAATGGTTGAGAAAACACTGATATAGACGTACAAAATAGCTATAGCAAATAATCTAATAACACGTAAAATATCTCCTTATTTTTTCATAGCGAATTTACAACTGCAGAATAAATATTAATCAACTATAATCTCCCAAATTAAGTGTTAGATAAACAAATTAAACTAGTGTCAGAAAAAATTAATAAGAAAATAAAAATAACTATTAAACTTTTCCATCGAGACTAATTACAAAAATAATTACAAAGCAAAAGAGAATATAATAAGAATCTTAATACAAAGAATTTACTGAGAAAAACAATCCCACAGAAACGAAGATGAGGACAATAGCTTAGTCTTCATCTAAATAATGTTAATAAAGTTTGATTAATTATTTTGCTTCTCGTGAGAACGACTAAGGCTCTTGAAGCCAGGAAACAATTTACAGTATATATATATATTATATCCCGTTCAGTTTTTGTATCTTCGGGCGTGAGTAGAGTTAGTTTTGTCTACATTGGTCTTTGACTTCACAGGCAACCGCTCGTTGTTTTTATTCTGCTCTAGGTAAAGGGCTTTTAGAAAATCCAGTTAATTAATTCTTAAATTTAGTGACAGGCTTCAAAACACATATCTTGGACAAATAGTGGAATTTAAAGATAATTTTAAACCTGTTGTTTTCTTTTACGTATTCAATGGCGATTCGATGAATCCTTTGTGACGAAATCGTATCAATATTTATTTTAAAAATGCCTAAAATGTTTATTTATATTTTGGTAATAAGTTTTATTTCTTTTAACGTTGTCTTTAGGTCATTATCTTTCAAACAGTACCGGAATTTAAGTTCAAAGAAGACATTTGCATTATTTAACTTGCGTTTATTTGGTTTTTTTTTCTCGAAAGTCCGTAACGGTAACTAGTAAACAAAAATAGATAATAAAATAAAATAAATTAATAGTGCGTCGTATTTAAATTATTAAAACTTTAATATTTGGCGCTTACTTGTTAGTTACCATCTGTTTTATAACTTTAACAACTGCATACGTTTTAATTAAAAATTTGCATTGATCATTTGCCCTTGAAAGGCGTCACCCACATTTTACTTATATAGACGATTGCAAATATATATATGTATATTATAAATTAACTGATTTAAAAAAAATATAGTTCCTTCGCTACACACGAATTACCATGTTTTGAAAACCGAAGCTAAAACTTCAAATTATATAATTAAATTAAAAGCATTATTTCTGCTATATCTTCAAGCGTGCTTGAAGATATAACAGACATAATACTTTTAACAGAAGTAATGTTTATTACTGATTACTTAATTATTTGTTGTTGAGATAAAATATTATATATATATATAAGTGAACATTGAAGTCAACACTTAGAGGCGACTGTCTGTTTCCTGCTAGACGCAATCGTCTAGCAGGAAACAGACAGTCGCTAGACTGTTGCCTCTAAGTGTTGACTTCAATATTTACATACGCTCTATCTCTGATATTGAGCACTTTATCCCATAAATATAGCACACCTCAAGAGTATATTTCTTGATATATATATATATATATATGGATTAAGCTGATTAATGGTTGCATATCTGTGTCGCCTGATGATTGCACAACGAATGAATCTTTGAGTAACGGGAACTTGATAAACACCGTTTGGTATATATCTTACATAATAAATGCGAATGTCAGTGTGTCACTGTACCACACTTTTTCAACTTCTAGAGAACGTAGCCCAGCATATCATACCATTTTGGAATCAGGCCGACTCCGTGAGCAAATTAAAAACATTCCGCGCCTGATCCGTACCAGCAATTCTGAAATTTTGGATTCCCAAGTTTTCATTACTGCGATTGCTTTCGGCAATTGTTTTACCTAATTTGTTTGCGACGAATTTTTTTTTGGTACGATAACAGTTTTATAAATTGTAAACAAATTTGGGAATAATTGAAATTAATTACAAAATCCTGCGAAAGTCACCCATGAAATAAAAATAATAGTTTGGACAGAAAGTAAAGACCTACGTACATCAAATTGTTTTTAAATTAAGTGGTGGTTGAAGAATTATCATTGAACTTTTAAAAGGTAAGCTTAATTATTAATGCAATACTTAAATGCAGCGATCGATTTTGAGTTTTTTTTTAGTTTATTGTTCTCGATCGCATTTACTCCTCCCTATGTAGGCCAAATCAAGAGCCCTCCGCAGGAGATAACTTAAATGCCAACCAATAATTTATTATATATATATATATATATATATATATATATATATATATATACTGTCTATAATACATATATTAATCATGTCACCCCAAGCAAGGGAATAAAGGCATTACGACGCAAAGGGTTACTGAGTATTTGAGGATGAGAAAAATACACAATTAAGGAGAGAGAACAACAAAAGAAGTTGAATCAACAAGACAGCAGATAACGACTGACATTGCATTTAATTTTTTGAAAATCAAATTTGACTAGGAAACAACCCGGACGAGAATTTCACAGGCGAGAAGTGCAAGAGAAGAAACTGTTAGCATACAACTGACGGTTACATGTAAAATGAAGAGACCTTGCCAACAATTTAGTACTGCGCTTAAAATAATAACGCCCAGGTACCATAAAAAAAGTTCATCAGAACAATTAAGTATTTATGGAAAAGGCACAGGGAAACGAGATTACGGCGGTGAGAATGTGACTGGAGGTGAGATACCAGTTAGTATTAATAACATTTCAGATTCTACTTTGTATTTTAACAAGAATCTATAAATATACAGCAGGAGCAAGCAGACCAATTGTGGAAGCAGCATTCAAAGCAAAGACGAATGATAGAATATTTTAGATTGATTCCGACGAAAAAACTTTCTAGCACCACACAGCGAATCAAATTTGCTAGCAACAGATCTAGCAACTGATTCGATATATATAGTTGTATATTTAGGCAGCAATCCTTCCTTTACGAATATTTCATTAAAAACGACAGAAAAGGTACTAAGGTTAAGCTTTTTATTTAATTTTTCTTGTGTTCGTACAAGAGCTTTCTTTTCTGGACAAAGGGTGTGTAAGAACTGTCCAAATGATTGATAATGGCTAAAGGTATAGCCAAAAGCGCTCGGAAATATAAAACATTTGGACAGTTTTCTTACACATATATAAATAGTGTTCTGGAAGACAAGAAAAAATTAAATAAAAAGTTTAAATGTAATACCTATCTATTTTTTAATGAAAACATATATATATATATATATATATATATATAATATATATATATATATATATATATATATATATATATATATATATATATATATATATATATATATATATATATATATATATATATATATATATATATATATATATATATATATATATATATATATATATATATATATATATATATATATATATATATATATATATATATATATATATATATATATATATATATATATATATATATATATATTATATATATATATATATATATATATATATATATATATATATATATATATATATATATATTATATTATATATATATATATATATATATATTTGGGCAGTAATGTGTGTTTTATACGTGTTTCGTTAAAGACGACTGAGAAGGTATTGCGATTAAGCTTTTTATTTAATTTGTCTTGTGTTCGTACAAGCGATTTCTTTTTGGGACACAAATGCTACTTCTGACGTGAAACAAATCTGTTACCTTTCATTCTACGTCATTGATAAAGTTTGTTACGCGCGCGTTGTGTTTTGTTTAACGATCAAAAGCAAACGCCTTTAACACAACGTTGAAAATCTGACTTGCAGTTGCATAAAAATCGCTAACTGACATGTCCACACACACACACTACCCTGTCCGGTGACAAAAACTGATGGCACCAAGGGTGGCAGTAGCGCCTTAACCACTAAAACTGCGTTACCTCCCCTTGTTGGCGGTTGCCGAGGACAGGGTATTGCACGTGCTTTCACAGGTTGTATGCAAAACAAAAAAAAAAACAAAAAAAAAAGGAAAGAGAGAGAGAGAGAAAATTATATAAAATAGAGATATCACAAAAAATGCAAATTAAATGTCTGTTAAGTACGTCGTTTCATTTATGCAAGTTCATGCGTTAAATCTAAATCTAAAATCGACGTATGGAAGCAATCATTATTAAATGCTCCCCGTCGCTAAAAAAAAAAAAAAAATTGTGTTAAAAATAATAATATAACCTCCCTCTAAAGTTCTCTTTTGTTTCAGTCCGAGACCAATGAAAAGAATAGCCATAATAATGAATAAAGAAGCGATCAATTGAATCGGCTTTTTTTAATCTACAATGCAGAAGTGTTAGAGTCTGTCGAGTAAATATTTCAGTGTCAACAGTCAAATATTTACTCATCAAAGTTGTGTGTATATCGTTGGTTCTATTTGTTTGTCTTTTGACTTTGTAGTCTTTATTATTTCGCCTTTTCGTTCCACTTTAAAAAAACAAAAACCATGTTCTTCTTTTCGTTTGTTTCTTTCTCATTCATATTTTTTTATACTGTTTCTTTTTCTAACTCCTCTTTTTCTTTCCCTTGTTTCTTGCCTCTTCTCATTCTTTCCTTCTTTCTAATTTGCTTCTTTTCCATTTCTTATCTCGATCTATTTTTCTTTTGTTCTTTTCTAATATTATTTTTCGAAATCATCTCTTTCTTGTTTTTTTTTTTTTTTAAACTAGTTTCTTTCTCTCTTTTCTAGATTATTTTTGTTTTTCTTTTTTACTTTTTGAAGTCATCTCTTTCTTGCCTTTTTCTTTTAGATTTCATTATTCTTTTTCTTTCTTTCTTTTCAAATTTGTCTCTTTGTGTTACTTTTTAATTCGTTTCATTTTCCCCTCTTTTTTCAGATTCTTTTTGTCTTGCGTTTTCTTTTTTTTTTTTTTGAAGTTATCTCTTTCTTCCTTGCCTTTTTTAGATTTCATTATACTTTTTATTTCTTTCCTTTCTTTCTTATTTTCGAATTTGTCTCTTTTTGTTACTTTTCCAATTCGTTTCTTTTTTCTCTCTTTTCCAGACACTTTTTGTCTTCTTTTTTCTTTCTCTTTGAAGTCATCTCTTTCTTGCTTGCCTTTTTCTTTTAGATTCCATTATATTCTTTTCTTTCTTTCTTTCTTTCTTTCTTTCTTTCTTTCTTTCTTTCTTTCTTTCTTAAGCTTTGGGAACATTTCTGTATCCCTTATAATCCTCATCTGCTTTTTATTAACACATTTACAATTCACTAAGCACCAACGGAATATCGTCTAGTCAGTCAGCCATTTCAACCCAAGCTCCCTACAGATTGATTCAAACAGAAAAAAGGAAAGACGGATTAATAAACACTTACTCGTAATTAATGACTTTTATGTATTTATTTAAACTGTGGCGTTTTAGCAAACACTTGTAATCTCATTCTTTACATCCTGATCGTAATCAACGTTGAAAGTCGTTGTTAACTTTTTAATCTTTTCACCTCAAGCAAGGTGAGAGTGCCACTAATGCACAGGGACTTACAGAGAGTGAAAGTGAGAGAAAAGACTGACTATAGGGAGGATTGAGGAAAGGACAAAATATGAACGCGATTCAAGAAGATAGGAGATGGAGACTGACGTTGAATTTAACTGATTGATGATTGTCTTTATCAGGAAGACAAGTAAACGGAAGGGAGATCCACAGTCGGGAAGTGCGAAAAAAAGAATCTCTTGGAGTAGAAGTGGCGGCTGCATTTACCTATTTTAACTGTAAAAGGGTGGGACCTAAATGCCAATCTAGTAGCACGCTTAAATTTATCTAGTCGGGGCACCAGGATAAAAAGCTTGTCATAACAGTTGACATAAAAATATTTGTAGAAAGGAGAGAGGGGATCTACGTCAGGTCGGTGAGAAAGTGAATGAAGTCGAGATGCTAGGTCAGGATCGATTACATTGCAGATCTTTCTTTGGATTTTGTCAAGAACCTCAGGATGATTGTTTATTTTTTTTTTTTTTAAATTCCAGAAATTGTAATCAAGTCTATGGAAGTTATCAAGTCCAATTTTCAATAATGTGGGTGGGTGATCATCCTAGTACCAATATCGGTCCATCAGCTTCCTCGATGTCATCAGCAAACTCTTTGAAGCGCTATATTCAACAAGACAGAGTGTTGAGCACCTCAAATGGGACAACCCGTTGAGCAAAAACAATAAGCAATCTACTGTTGATATCTTAACTGTCATTGTGCATAGAATCAGCAAGACATTAGACACATCATGAGGACGATTGTATATATGAAAGGATTTTAATAAGGTGTGGCACAAGGTGGGGGTGCTACACAAGCAAGCTCTCCATCTATGGAATCACCGGAAGAGTTTTCTCAATTATAACATCCTTCTTGACAGTCTTCCGAGTTCCATAAGATTAATGCAGGGGTCTCCCAAGGTTCGCGTGTCAGTCCAACCATCTTCCTGCTTTTAATGATCTGCCTAAGAACATAGTCCGATCTCTTGTGAATATCTATGCAGATAATTGATACAACTGTATATGGGCGCATCTCCCAAAATCTAGATGACCAGGGCCTGACAGCTATCTCTCCCTGAGCCAGCTCTAACTACTCAATGAAGGAAAAAAGTGGCTGGTCACATTGAGTACCTTAGAACCTTGCAATGATCCTTCATCGCCAAGTAGCCCCTGAATTTCCATATATCATAATGAACGGGTGTTCTTTTGGGGAGGCCCTTTTGCCTGGAACGCTTATCTGGAATTTAAGCTCATCCCTGATCAAGTGAAACTGGTATATACTATCCATCGCTGGAAAAAAAAAGGTCGTTTCCCATTACCCCTCCTGTAAGTGCTTGATTTCTCCTGATATGTTTTACATTTACAAGACAGAGTACAGGTCAAAAATAGAGTACTGCTAACATATATAGACAAGAGCTTCTCGGTCTTCACTTTCCAGTCTTGTCAGAGTTCGAAAGCGTCTACACGGGCTTGTGGGTGATGAACTGTTTTCTACCTTACAATCCCTTTCTCACAGTCGAAACGTTGTAAGCTTCTCGCTACTCCGCCGCTATTGTCATGTAAAATGTTCAAACGCGCTAATCTAACTCTCCCCACCACGCCACATACAATGAGGCGAACCACCTTCATTCCCTTTGTATCCCTTTAGTAAAGAGTAAGTTCCACCCAGATAGCTTCTTCTGCTGCTTTGGGGAAAGAAATTTTATGCTTTCTCGTCCACTAAAATCTTAGCCTGATCGAGTCTAGGGTTAACTGTTATCTTTCACACATATGCTCATAAAAATGCGCCCCTTACTCTTATCGCTCACACAACAACAGCCTTCAGTAAACCTCTACCTTGAGTAATTCTTGGGCCTTGTACAGAGTGAACATTTGTAAAAAGAAAAATGAATAAATTATTGAGCCATTAACGATGTTTTTAATTTGTCGATCTGGATTTGGTTATCTACAAGAGGAAAAATAAAACGATACAGATCTAAAAATAGTACAACAATAAACTTGATAACAATATACGTGAAGCGATATGTGAAACGAGAAATCGGAGGGCCGAGTTCGAATTCTAGTCGTGTTCATTGCGTTCACTTACGCACAAATACTCTCTTCTCCACCCATTCAAATAGCAGGGCAGACCCTAATTTTTAGTCGTGGTTAAATACCAGTCTAGGAAAAGGCAACTTTGAATTCATATGCGTAACAATTGTCCATGGTCGCTCGACCCTTAACAATGAGGACTGGGGAAAAAAAAAAAAACAACAAAAAACAAAAACAAAAACAAAAAAAAACGAAAACTAATTTGCAAAGAATCATAGTTATTCGGAAAACATATTCACATTCGGTGGATGTTTGATGTTTTTTTCATTATTTCACTCCAAGCAAAGTGAATAAGCCACTAAGGCACAAGAGTAGAAAAGATACGAGAAAAAAAATCAAGTAGGGAGAATAATAAAAGAACAGGAAGACAGAAGATGACTATTGACATTGCATTTAAATTTTTGAAGATCACAGTAAACTGGAAAGGAAGAGGTCACAAGCGAGACGTGCGAGAGAAGAAACTATTAACATAGAACTTACGGTTACATGAGAGCTAACCGCCAATCTAGTACTGCGCCTAAATTCGTAAAGTTAAGGTACCAAGGAGTAAAGTTCATCAGAACAAGTGACAGGGAAAATACGTTACGTCGGTGGGAAAAATGATTGAATCCGAGATGCCAGTTCAGGACTGATAACATTGCAGATTCTTCTTTGAATTTTATCAAGCATCTACAAATAAATAAGAAAAGCACTAGTGTATATATGACAGCAATATTAAATGCATGAACGAATGGTAGATTTATAAGTCTGTAAGATAGAATCTGTTGTAAAAAATTGCCTCTCATGTAACAGTGAAGAGACTTTTCTAGAAGCAGACCAAGCAATTGATTCAATATTTCCAGTTAATATCAACGGAAAACATTAAGATCATTATCTTTGACTTGGTCTTTACGTGCCATGTCTCTTCAAGATGGCGACTAATGTGAGTCTCTGCAACTTCCGGTTTTTTTGTTGCACTCAAACATACTTACTCTGTTTCGGTTCACGGTCGTCGTTTCTCCATCTATTTGAACAAAATGGTTAACTTACTATCTGCTTTCTTTTTTTTTTTTTTTCATCAGTGTGTACTTGTTGGCTGTCGGGTTAAATTAAAGAACAAATCGACAGTAAACATTCTGTGGGGAGGCTCCGGGTAGCGTTTCGATTATAGCGACAGAATAGGATCAGCCAGCTGAGGTCAAATTCCAGTCGAAACGTTTGCATTTACTTTCGCACAAATACTCATGTGCAAGTTATGAAACCATCTGTTCTCCACATCTCAGCAATGTGTAAAATGGCAGGGCAAACTGAACTCTCTAGTCTCTGTTGGCAGCCAATCTATGTGAAGGAAAATGAATTCAAAAGCCGATGGACGTGGGGCTAGCAACTCGACTGCTTAAAACCTAGATTTTATTTAGACCCCCAAGAGCACCATCTACCGTGATAAAGTTGTAGTCCCATGATCCAGAGAATTTCCAGCTTAAAACACACCTACTCAGCGCTGAGTAATGCTTAGCGAAATTGTCTGTTTAACCATTAAGACTGCTTAGTTGGTTATATTTTTAGTGTTTTAACAGGGGACGGAAAGTGCGATATGGAAATCTGAAGGCGCTTTGTGTGTGTGTGGGGGGGAAGGCTTCAAAAGATGTTTTCCAAAAGCTAAGCAAAGTACGAAGAAACAGGATCATTTCGTTATAAACAATGAAATGAGTGCTGAACTGTTATGTAATATCAATCCACCTATATGCAGTGAGCACTGGACAAGTTCCCCACGAAGAGAAAAACCGGATGCAAGAGAAATGTGGTTCTACAGAAGGATACTGAGAATACCGTGGACGGAGCACGTAAGTAACGATAAAGTCTTGAGGAAAATGGAAACAAAACGGACACATAATCAAAATCAGATAGAGACAGCCGAAATTTTATGGATATATAATGAGGAAAGAGGACCTGGAGAATTTGTCACTCACAGGACATATCGAAGGCAAAATGTCTAGGTGAGGCGGAGTGGCGGATGGGATGGATGGCAAAAAGACAAACATTACTAAAAGCTATAAGGAATAGGAAGTTGTGGAGAGACATGTTCAATCACGTTCTGATGGGATGTGGCACATAGACGTACCAGTTCTATATTCAGTAGATTTAGTTTGATTTGGCTTGTTTTACGGTATATCAACCTCAATGGGTTATTTAATGCCGACAAGATTTTTATTGCTCGTAATATTTTTTTTTCAAAAATATATTCTTAGTAATATTTTTTTCAAAAATCTATTGCTGTCAAAAAAAAAAATTTTTCTTCAAAAATGTATTGCTGGTAATATTAATTTTTTTTCAAGAATCTATTGCTGGTAAAAATTTTTCAAAAAAATATTGCTGGTATTAAAACCCATTTTTATACTTTCGTAATATGTTGATCTATTTTGGCGGGGTTAACTATTTACCCATAGCTGGGACCCTGATATGTGCTACCACCCCGTATCAGTGTGGATCTGGTAACTCCAGCAATTACAAGGTGGTTTCATGCTCCTCAAAATCTCCTGATCAAAGACCTTGCTGTCGGATGTAGTTTATCGTCTTACCCAGGATATATATTCAGTAGGCGCGAGTATTGCCAGCATTAAGCTAAGTTAAATTGCTTCCGTAAATATTTAGTGACTTTTATGAAAGCAGGCAATACAAACTTCATAAAATTGGCAGAAGAAA